ATATATATATATATATATATATATATATATATATATGATGGGATTATTGCCAGTATATTTGGAGAATCTAAGATTTATTACTCTGAATTTCTATTCATTTTTAATTACCTTACCAGTGTACCTTATTTATTGTCATTGTATCTTTTTAAAACCGCTTGACCTGGATCTGTCTTTTAGGTCTCAAATAGTAAGACTCGTTTATAAGTGAGTCATTTTGCTCTAAAAGCAACAAGAGGACGGCGAGCTGTGTTCTAACTCATTTCTGGAAGTGAACACAAGAGTGCGGCGTGTTAGATTCAAGCACCTAGCGTAGCCTTTGATGTGGCAACATGTGGCGCAGGCTATCTTGCAGCACGGGGCTGATTGTTTCAAGTTCTGGTGCATTTGGGAGATGAAGCCGATCATTTCACATCTTGCTCATCAACGTGCGCTCTTGACGAGTGACTGAAATTCACAAGCATTGATGTGAAGAATGACTGATGACCAGAGCTCTGTGTTTCAAAGGCTTGATCAGTAAGAGGAAAAGAGTGAAAGCAAGTGAGAAGGATGAACTAGAGCTCAAAAAAGGATTGATAATTCACATATGTTTGCTGATCCTCACTGAGTCACATAAAAGCTAATTTATGCTAACAATTAAATGCACGCGTTTGGAATTTGTCAATATCTGTTTCCTCCCAGTTGCATGTCACTAGAACCCAGAGCTCCTACTGAGACTCAGAATATAGACAAGAGAGCCCCAGCTTTCTCTCAGGCCCAATGTAATTTAATTATAATCAAATAGCTAGCAGGGGACACCGTTTGCTGAAAACACGCTAATGGATACACATTGCTTTCTGCTTTTTGTTCCCTATTTTCTCAGATAAGGATCTCATTTCTCCATGTGTATTTTGAGCCTTAATGGGATTTAATATCTAAATGTGTCTTTATGTTAATTTATTTGTGTTGTGGCTTGTGGATACGATTTGGCTGTGGATTCAATTTGTTTGTTTTGTTATATGCTGTTCTGCTGAAAATTCAGCTTTGCTATCACAGGCTTAAACAGCATTTTAAAATATATTCAAATAGAAAAGTTATTTTAAATTGTAATAGTATTTCTCAATTTTTACTGTATTTTTCTATCAAGTAAATGCAGCCTTGGTGAGCATAAGAGACTTCTTAAAAAAATAAAAATAACATAAACTGTACTTTGTGTTTGTCCGTCATGCAAGTTTATTTTACTGCTGGCCATAGGTTTTGAAAATGTGATTTCAAGTAAGAATATGACATTGTTTTTAATTTGACAAGACATCTGCATTCTTGCTGCTAAAAGTTATCATCTTCCAGGTTAAAATGTTTGTAAACTGCAGCAGTATTAATGCATGTATCAAACTCACTCATGCAACATTTCTGACAGTTTTCCAGCCCTGTGTTTTATCATATTGATGTATGTGAGTGGATACAAATCATATAGCAGAGTGAGATCCCTCACAATAGCATTAACTTTTCCCCCATCTTGGCTCCACTGACTTACTCATATCATGTCCCCAACTCCCAATGAAAATGAATGACATTCGTTGCTACAAATCACTGTCAGTTTGAAAGCTACTTAATAGATGGATAATTGAAAATGTTCACTTTGCAATGGGGATGAAGGCACAATGGAGTGGAGGTGAATTGCCTTGGGGAACATTGTATGCTATAACAAAAACGGGGTTGAAAGAAATAAGGATGAATTCGTTTCTAGGCACTGCTGAGAGTTCAGGGAAGACATTTAAAAATAGGGTGTAGTGTGCCCAAGGTAAGTGTGCAGGTAGAAGGAGTCCAGGGCCTGCATTTAATTGCAGGATCTGCGGGCCTAGAGGACATACGGAGCATGCGCTATTCGTGGAACTGGGTTCTGTCCTCTTGGAGTGCTGTAATGGAAATATATGGCAGCGGAAATGAGGCGAAACAAACCAGGCTCAATCTTTCATGTAATACAATCTGCGAATCACCTCTCACTGCTTCAGCATGCAGTTGCTGTTTGCTGCAATCCGATAATTGCTAGGATGATGTTTCTCAATCACAATGTTTACGTGTGTCATTTTCAATGCCATGTGAACTCATTATTGGGTTAATGGAACGTATTTGTGCATGAAAGTGTTCATGTATGTATGTCAGGAAGAGTACATTAGGTCTCCAGGAAAAAAAGTACATTAACCCAGCGTAGAAATGGGACATATGTGTCTATGTGGAAGGTTGCTACTTTTGGTTTGTGTGCATGAATGCACTGGTGCACATTTGTCAACCATATTTTAACACACTGAGAAAAAATATGTTTGTATAAAAGCTTAAAAAAATTAAAGCTTCTAATGAAATAGGGTCCATTTTAGTATCCCTCCTTTTGAATATATATGTTTTTCTTATTTTTTTCTTGCATTCCACTTCCATGCCCACTTGCAGATATAGAGGAGAAGAGAGAAATCGCCACATATTAATGATTTGGCAAATGAAGGCTATTGAAATAAATGGTGACAGTGGTGCAGAGAGAAATTTGTGGTGCTTAGCGCACGGTTAATA